AATAGCAAAACAAACTTGTAGCCAATCAACAGTAAGGGGCGTGTCTACTCATGATGAGGAGGAGAGAGAGTTCAGTGCACAGGATGGACATTAGTCGAGCCAAGCGACAGAAAGATGGCGGATAAAAAACAAAAGAGGAAAACGTCTGTGGCACAAACGAAGGCTTAAGGCAAGAAGTAGGACCCGTGTAAATATCGAATCAGCTTTCCAGCGCTGGAGAAAACTCAAGGAGCGCAAGGCCTGCGATCGGATGCCGAGGTTGCTTTGTTTCTTCTCGATAGGTGAGTAACACCGTGTCTGCGCCGCAACAGCTAAAGTCTGTCTAGTACACTGGACGCGACAAAGCGACCGTTGAAAATCATTTGAAATTTGTGTCAATACGTCATAAATAAAACGCAGCAGCAGTTTTCTGTCGGGGATTTGTCGTGTCATGCAGCGCCGCATCCAGTGTAGACCATAGATATGCATATATATCTATGGTGTAGACAGCATCCCTGATTATGAGTTCTATAGTATTTTGTCATGCCGCGTTTTGTTTTGGTGATTTAAATGTCAACATTGGCTACCAGAAATCGCGTACCCCACCTTTAAAGGAATAGCGATAGATTACGACAAATAACTCTGAACGCTTTCCTATAATAGAAGTCCCACATTTGTTATAGGGAAAAAATTAGTAGGTTACCATAATTCATAATTGCAACATAATGTTGTAACGCCCAAATCCACTAGCATAGCTACATTGTTTGATTTTATATTTACATACAAAATGGAATGGATTCTTGCTATTGCCCATCATTTTTATATCAGTGCAAAAAAGTATAGCCTATTTATCCAGCGCTGAGTCAATGTTATACACACACACACACACACACACACACACAAGAACCAAATTAATAGACGACAAGAGAACTGAATTGAAATTCAGTCCATGTTATCCCTACACAAAATACTCCCATCTGTATTTATGAAAGACGAGAGGAAATTAAATGCACTTTTAACAACCCTCTTTTATGAACTGAGCTGTACAACATTACCTCCAAAAAGCCTTTTTCAAGGACAAGTGATTTCATGGCTTATGCAGAAAAAACAAACAAAAAAAACCGATGCTTAAAATAGCCTACTCCGAAATATTGCTGAGATGGACAAATGGAATAAATGGAATAAAGATGATAAAAGGCTAATGTATGGAAAAGTGCACGTAAGCATGGAATCATTCCTAAACGCCTTCATCTAAGACTGACATGCTGAACAATGGCTCCGGTTTTTCACAGTCAGCTGGCAGGACAATTGGGAGCCGTGCTGCGTTTCCAAAGAGCTGAAAACGTGCTATAAATCTCTGTTTCTGCTGTTTTCTGGCACAGTGCGCACACTCTCACGGCTGTCTGCTGGGGAAACACAGGACAGGATGGATTTCGCCACATAGGCCAAAGAAGCGTAATACCTGGCTCTATCCGTTAGCATTTCCATTTATCTCAACTGCAGTTGCTCGTCTAGCACGCAGGAACTAATTTGTGATCATTTTGGTGACAGATACAATGTGGCATTTACCGGCATGACTAATAAGAAGTCCGTGATGACAGGGTCAGTAGGCAGTGATCTGTGTCATATTAATCTACGCCGCAAAAAGGCCCTATTCATGCAAATGCCACAATGTCACCACAGATAAAGGTCCAAGGCTCTGCAATGATTCTCAAAGTAAAGTTACAAAGACCTAAAACTAACTTTTTGCCTTCTACAAGGTCACAAGCCTGGAAACAAAGACACACTATGCTCACGTGCGTCACCGAACAGATGACAACAGACACGGCTCATTCCATCGAAGAAGGTAATGTGAACGTCATAGTAAAAATCAAGTGCATACTGTGCACAAGCGTCTACTAGCAATATAAAAAATTGTAATAGTCATTATTAAAAAAAACAAACAAACATATTTTAAGATGAATCCATTTCCATGTTTTATCATTCAGGATGCTCTTTCATAGCTCAGGAAATATATTCATCAGTGAGTTTCACTCAAGTATCAACTTGACTGTTTCTCCTAAAATGGCGAATAAAAAAGACAATTGTGACCATGGACCACAAAACCAGTCATAAGGGTCAATTTTTTTAAATTGAGATTTATACATCTTCTAAAAGCTGACTAAATAAGCCTTCCATTGATGTATGGTTATACAATATATACATTTACAATATTTGGCTGAGATACAACTATTTGAAAATCTGGAATCTGAGGGTGCAAAATAATCAAAATATTGAGAAAATCGCCTTTAAAGTTGTCCAGATGAAGTTCTTAGCAATGCATATTACTAATCAAAAATTAAGTTTTGATATATTTACGGTAAGATATTTACAAAATACCTTCATGGAACATGATCTTTACTTAATAGCCTAATGATTTTTGGTATAAAAGAAAGATCAATCATTTTGACCCATACAATGTATTTTTGGCTATTGCTAAAAATATACCCCAGCGACTTAAGACTGCTTTTGTGCTCCAGGGTCACAATTGTTGTCATATGAGACTATAGATCTATAGAAAATATGATACAATTATATTATACATACATACATATGACCCTTCAAGTTTCCAAAATACACCTACTTATCTCTGATGCTCAAGAACAATTCAAGCACACAGGAACAGAAAACAGGAATTCAGAAGTTTTATATATATGAATATAAATATGTAATATTACCAGGCCCAAGAGACAGATATAGGACATAAAGAGTGAACAAACTGGTATTGGTATTGAGTGCTGTCAAGATAATTGTTACCACTTCGTCTGCTGTCCTCCCACAACAGGTAGATTAGAGCGTTTAGTCATGTGATCCCGCAGACCCACCTGAGAGCAGATCTATCACTGTCTGCTTCTGATAACATCTCCTGCCATTCCTCTCAGAAACACTCTGACTGCTGGGAAAAATATGTCCCTACAAGTTTCCAAAATACACCTACTTAGCACTGATGCTCCTGAACAATTCAAGCACAGAGCAACAGAAAACACGAAATCAGAAGTTAAGGGTTTTCAGATGTCCTTTCAGTGTATACTTATATATATATATACTGTACATACTAGTCAACATTTGAATTGGATCAAAACCTTTCATCAAAGTTGTCCTAAAACCTAAAACCAAAATGTGTTCTTGTCTTAGGACAACTTTGATGAACTTTTTTGATCCACTTCAAATGTTGACTACTGTATATATATATATATATATATACTCACACAACAGATCGTTCTGGTTCTCAAATCTGATTGGTTGAGAACCGTGAGATATTGTACTGGTATCGCTACAGGAACACCCTTTCACAATTTTGTATCACTCCACTTGTTCTAGCCAGGTCTCTGTTTTTTTTAATTATTCACTGAGCTAATCGTAGAGTACGTTAGTTAATATAAGAAGAAACGTCTAGCTTCGCGGTCTCTCTCTCTCTCATTTGGATGCACGTCTTGCCGCATTGTTTCTCTCTTATAACCTCATTATTTCTGACTAATAACCTAACTGAAGCAGCACATGCCCTTGATACGAATTCTAAAAGTGACGTATGTTTAACTGTCAACTTGAGCTTTGAATCCGTGGCGGAAGGAAGTAGTTCCACACAAAAGAGGGTTTCATTAGGCACTCCGTTGTTTCTTGTTTAATTACACACATGTTCCGTCAAACTGTTGTATAAACGCAATATCACTCTCGTAGTTTTTATTGCTCGAGTACTCGAGTGATATTGCTCATATATATATATATATATATACATATATATGATTTGGCAAACTGATCCAAACCAGTTTGTGAGTGTTGTTTGTAGCCCCAATATAACATGTTGATATAGTGTGAGTGTGTGGCACCACAGTTCCAGCTGTTAGGTGTGTCCATTATTTGATTCAGTCATTTATTTAGCTTGAAGCTCAGGTGTGTGTGTTATCAGAGTGTTCCCCAGAACTGAACAGGAGTTCAGTTGCTGTTCTGTTGCTCCTCAAGCACTCATCTGTCCTTAGTGATTCATCATCCACCGCACGAGAGGGACATCTGTGTTTTATCTGAGCCCTCTCCAAACACAACCAGAGCCCGAAGAGAGAGAGAGAAGAGTGTGATCTGTAAACTAATTACAGCAGGTGGCAGATCCAGCGTCATTCATCACTAAACTACATTTGGGAGAGAACAAATTACCCACAAACGTGTATAAAGAGGGATCCATTTGAAAACATATTGGTTGGTTTGCATGACAAGATGCCTAGAAGATTTAGAAATGAGCATTGTTTACAAATGCAAGAGACCGTTCCACTGAAATGACACAGATTTCCTGTGATGTGTTGTGTCTGGAGCGTCAGGATTCAGCTGTGTTTGTCAGCGAAGTGCCCAGCTTCGATCTGTTCTCATTAGCGGGGATGAATGTCTTTGAAGACCTCTCCTCAGTGAGTGAGGTCACTGCGGTCCCATCATGAAAGCTAAAGGAACTCTGCATTGGAAAAACAGACATGGTAAAAAAAACGCTTTCTCCTTACCTGGGATGACTTCAAATAGGAACTTTCCGCCTTCCTCCCCATTGCTGGGATGTTCGGTGACTCTGTTGCCAGGTAGGGAAATGGTGCCCTAGAGGAACCGAAAAGCCAAAAGAAACTAGTCAGACACAAACTGCTGAGGAAAGCAAGACGTAAGAGGAAAATAAATCACGGTAAGAAAAAAGCTTGGGTGCATTGGAGAATAGGATGCTAAAATGGGAAAAATACCTTTCTTTAGATTTACTTTTCAGTTGTATATTTTGTAAAAAAATAAAATATAAATATTTCCTTCAAATGCCCTGTTAAAAGCTAAAATTAAGTCCAACTTATTTTTCCTTATTATATTTTCCTATATAATTTAAGTTAATATAAATAATTTTAAAAATCTAAATCTAAATAAAAATCTAAATATTTAATATATATATATATAT